TATTAAATATATAGCTTACATTTTACAACAATGGGCCGCGGTGATCACCCAATTGGCATTGATCAGGGAACCACCACACACACATATATATATTATTATCAACCATTCAATAGAGTATAACGGGAATAACATGGCGTGCGTTATATCCCCCGACAATATCCAACTCACGAATCAAACCCTAGCCCTAACTGTTAGGCCCGAGAATCACACCAAACACAACATTCCCGAGTATAGGCCCCTGTTCTCACGGCCCGAGCTATTAGTGGTCTTTGATTGGAATAAGAACAACTTTTTAGCTATAAGGGCGGCATTGCCACAGGGTCAATTACTAGACCCATTTGTACTCGTGAGAATCTTGGTGTACAACATGATTGTTGACATTCCCATAATCAGTCCCCTTGAATATTATGCCAATCCGTATGCGAGACAGACTATAAAGCAAATGCTCAACGAGGACCTAGCTCAATTTCATACGTACACCATGGAATGGAACGTTACTCATTATGAATGGAGTTTTGATTATAAATACTCATATACAACACTTTATAATTCGCTTGATATTCAGCTTCAAAGGTTTATTGGATCCCGAGCGGAATTGATAAGCGGGGTGAAAGTTGGCATAAATAAAGGCGATAGGTTTGCCGCAAATGATTACCTGAAGTGGAAGTGTTCGGCACTTATCATAGATTATGTTCGCCTCTATCGATGGGCTGATGATAATACAGACGTTTCAGATGATAGATACATGACACTACATGACAGCTCTGCCACCGCCCCCGAGATTTGTAAGACTATTATGTATGGTATCGTTGGAAAGGATCTCATGTCTGATACCGTAACGGATAAACCTATTATGACTAATATTACAACAATAATACCTGGATACAATACTATAGCAGATAAGCCAAGTACAAACACAATTAGTGTTATGGTATTAATAGTAGGGGTGATAATCAGTTTGGTTGTGGTTGTTGTATTGCCATTAGTATCCGCCTTAATAATCATGTATCGCAAGCATAAGAGACTGAAACGGATTAACCGAGAGATGGTGTCCGATGTTTACGACGACAACCGTATGGATGACTACGAAGAGTGCGACTATAATATTGATCACAAATACGAAGAGCCATACGATACGATTAGTCATACAAATAGTGTGGACTCTAATGGCGCCCCAATTTATCTGGAAATAACTAATACAACTCGTACCTAATGATATTTGTATGTTAGAAATGATTATTGTTAGAAAACTTTAAATTTTTAATACTTTTTAAATTTAAAATATTTAAATTTATATAATTATTAGACCCCCTCACTGAAAATCAGCTGCGTTTGAGTGACCAGGTTCTCTTAATATTAATAAATTCAATCCAATTTAAAAGTATATTACAGAATTCAAATTACATCATAGATTATATCTAAAATCGCAACTAAACTCGGAAAATATATTGACACAAAACTGCATTTATTTGGGAATATTTGCGAACAAATGCGTGACTCGAGTGATGCGGACATTGCTGTCAACCGATTGATACAACACTGCGAACATAGTATTGACCGAAATATTGCAACAAATATTTAATAATAATTTTTAAAAGTTAATATTATTATAAAATAATTAAGAATAATAAATAAAACAATAAGTGAATATTGTATTAAATTACTTATTAATAAACTACTATATTGTTTTATATAAATAATATACAGTTCAATAGTATATGTGGTTCAATAATATAGTATACAAAGTGCCATTATGTTTACACTACTTAATAGGTTTTTCATCTGAAAAATGCAATTACAAATTAAAGGTTATTAATTCTTTGTGATTAATATTATCTCGCACATGCCTATGCATGGGACATTTATTAATAAATGGTTTTACTTATTAAATTTGCAATAATAATCTTTAAAAAAGTACAATAACTGATAAGGTTTTAATATATTTTTGATATATAAGTAAGCATACTACAATTAAACTTTATAAAATAAATATTATTTTTTTTAACATTGCTAATATTTATATATAAAAACAATTATTTTATTATTATAAATAAGAATGTTGCTTTTAATTATATTAGCATCATTTAATTTATGTGTTAATGCAATACCATTTGAGAATGAACTAGCTAAAAATTCTTTTAACGGTTCTAGATGGGTGGTACTTTGCGCCGGTAGTACTACCAATGCCAGTTGGATAAATTATGGTGACCAGGTAAATTAAATTATTATAATAATAAATTATTCAATTTTCTAAATAATGTCATATTACAGGGTGACGTATACCGTGCCTACCATTTAGCCCGCGATAATGGTATACCCGATGACCACATAATAGTCATGCACTACGACGACGTGGCGTATAATAAGAAAAATCCGACCCCGGGCATTGTCATCAATGAGATTAATGGCACCGATGTCTATCATGGTGTTCCTAAGGACTATACCGGCGATGATGTCAACCCTATTGTAATATCAAAATAATAATTTTAAATTAAAGTTTTAATTATATTTTGATGTATTTTCAGAATTTTATGGCTGTCCTCCGGGGGGACCGTACGCTCGAGCGTAACCATAAGAAAGTGGTTAAAAGTGGACCCAATGATCATATTTTCGTTTATTTCAATGACCATGGTGGCCACGG